AACGAGGCCCCGCAGCACAGGAGTCAGACTGTAGAACGAGGCCCCGCAGCACAGGAGTCAGACTGTAGAACGAGGCCCCGCAGCACAGGAGTCAGACTGTAGAACGAGGCCCCGCAGCACAGGAGTCAGACTGTAGAACGAGGCCCCGCAGCACAGGAGTCAGACTGTAGAACGAGGCCCCGCAGCACAGGAGTCAGACTGTAGAACGAGGCCCCGCAGCACAGGAGTCAGACTGTAGAACGAGGCCCCGCAGCACAGGAGTCAGACTGTAGAACGAGGCCCCGCAGCACAGGAGTCAGACTGTAGAACGAGGCCCCGCAGCACAGGAGTCAGACTGTAGAACGAGGCCCCGCAGCACAGGAGTCAGACTGTAGAACGAGGCCCCGCAGCACAGGAGTCAGACTGTAGAACGAGGCCCCGCAGCACAGGAGTCAGACTGTAGAACGAGGCCCCAGCAGCACAGGAGTCAGACTGTAGAACGAGGCCCCGCAGCACAGGAGTCAGACTGTAGAACGAGGCCCCGCAGCACAGGAGTCAGACTGTAGAACGAGGTCCCCGCTGAAACACCGTGACACAGACATAAACCATCACTGCTCGATGGTCTGCATGTTCAGGGTCCATCATCACACCATGAAACAGACAATGGGACTGCGGGTGAATAGCAATGAACAGACTACAGCAGGAGTCATAATGACCACAGATAAACTGTTATGTTTGGTCTTTCCTGAGCCTCTGCTTGAGGTCCAGAGTTTCTTTTCCTTACACCATTACTAGGGCCGGGAGTTTAAGGATAACTTTACTTTGATTAAGATCAAAGGTCTCTGTTCTCACATGGTCTCTGTGTCCACCTGGTCTCTGTGTCCTCCTGGTCTCTGTGTCTTCATGGTCTCTGTGTCTTCATGGTCTCTGTGTCTTCATGGTCTCTGTGTCCTCCTGGTCTCTGTGTCCTCCTGGTCTCTGTGTCTTCATGGTCTCTGTGTCTTCATGGTCTCTGTGTCCTCCTGGTCTCTGTGTCCTCCTGGTCTCTGTTCTCACTTGGTCTCTGTGTCCTCCTGGTCTCTGTGTCCTCCTGGTCTCGGTTCTCACATGGTCTCTGTGTCCACCTGGTCTCTGTGTCATCCTGGTCTCTGTGTCCTCCTGGTCTCTGTTCTCACATGGTCTCTGTGTCCTCCTGGTCTCTGTGTCCTCCGGGTCTCTGTGTCTTCATGGTCTCTGTGTCCACCTGGTCTCTGTGTCTTCATGGTCTCTGTGTCCACCTGGTCTCTGTGTCCTCCTGGTCTCTGTGTCTTCATGGTCTCTGTGTCTTCATGGTCTCTGTGTCTTCATGGTCTCTGTGTCTTCATGGTCTCTGTGTCCACCTAGTTAGATAAAAGTGCTGTGTGTGTCTAATCTCACCTTTTGCTCGACATTCTTTCACTCCCATTTTGCATGTTTCATTTATTTTGTTGGAACGGGGCCTTTATGAGTGGTGTTTGCATGTTCTCCCTGTGTCTGTGTAGGTTTGCCCTAAAGCACCATGTGACTCTGGTCTGTGAAAGGCGCTACATGAATAAATAGTACTAAGCCCAAACATGTGTTGATGAAGCAGAACTGAAGTCTTCTGACTGACAGTGGTCAGAGAGCTGTTGGAAGCCATGGTAACAAGGGAATTTCCCCAGACACTGGTTGTGGGTCGGTTGCTAGGATACGGTACCAGATGCTAACGTGTGATGGAGTGGGTGGGGCTGGTGGAAACAGGCCGCTCTGCATGTGGTCTCAGCGTCTGTCAGAGAGACTGTTACTGCGCCTGATTCTCTGATCTGCTGTCGTCGGATCCACAACTGTGTAAAGGCAACACACAAACACACACCGCCTGTAATGGAGCAGGTTCTGCTCGGACACACACTGAGAGGTCAGAGGTCACTCACAAAATCTGTTTTCTCTGAGGAGGAAGAACATTACACTTCTGTTGTTTTTCAGAAAACTTAAATCATCATTTTATTCTCAATATTAAGAAGAGACTTTATAGAGAGGTCTGAGTCTGTATGTATACTGACACAGGTCTGTATGTATACTGACACAGGTCTGTATGTATACTGACACAGGTCTGTATGTATACTGACACAGAGGTGTGTATGTATACTGAGACAGGTCTGTATGTATACTGACACAGGTCTGTATGTATACTGACACAGGTCTGTATGTATACTGAGACAGGTCTGTATGTATACTGAGACAGAGGTCTGTATGTATACTGAGACATAGGTCTGTATGTATACTGAGACAGAGGTGTGTATGTATACTGAGACAGGTCTGTATGTATACTGAGACAGGTCTGTATGTATACTGACACACAGGTCTGTATGTATACTGAGACAGGTCTGTATGTATACTGAGACAGAGGTCTGTATGTATACTGAGACAGGTCTGTATGTATACTGAGACAGAGGTCTGTATGTATACTGAGACATAGGTCTGTATGTATACTGAGACAGGTCTGTATGTATACTGAGACAGAGGT